TTTAGTCATTCCACACAGTATACAGGTGGCTACAAAGTATGATCCGCCAATTTACATGTTCCTTGCTAACCTGTGGAATCCCTGTTTCAAGTGTGTAATATAACTCTGGATAGACTGCCGAATTATCATGATTGACAGTACAAATACCTCGAAGAAATGCGACCGTCTCGCTACCATCGCACATCTCCTGGACGAAGGATGTTCCGCTGCGGAGATCGCAAAAAGGCTGCACATCGAAGACAGAACGGTGAGAAGAATTGTGGCTCTATACATTGAGCGAGGACACTAGCTACTACTTCCAACAACAGGCCGACCAAGAACTGTTAATGTTCCACAGATTCGGAAGACGATCAAGAAAAGGATCTCCTGCAACGATGAGGTCAGTATGAACAAAATCGCTTCGGATCTGCATATCTCACGAAAGTGTTCAAAACATCGTGAAATTTGAACGGATTTACACAGTTACCGCTCCTTCCGAAGACAGGTGCTCAGCGAAACCGTCAAGAAGAATAGACTGAAGAAATGTAAGAAGCTTCTGGCTGCCCTTAAAGGCACGCTCCACGATTAGGCGCGCTCCCCCCTTCCCCCTTCCATAGGCAGGCGGACAAGTGTTGTTGTCGCACCCCTTTTGCCGCTTGAAAGTGCGCGACAAAGGCACAAGCAGCTCGTCCGACCTGCAACTCACACCTTCGTCCGCAAGCCCCACCCTCCGCTGTCGGTTGCCACGTGGCGCTGCTTGAAAAGCGCGGGCGCATTTGAGGCAGCGGTCCCATCGCGACCCAATGTCATTGGCACTGGAGCAACTAGAGTTAGGTTCGTGAAACTCGTCCAACGCGCCTCTTCTCTATCCCAAGGTGGAATGTGGCTGAAATAGGGGAGGTCTCTGTACGGGGCGTAATCGGTGGTTTCGTTTGCTTTCCTTCTCTTTTAGACCACCTCCCACCTCTAGTATCATGACTGAACGCTTTTAGACACCTATTTTATCCCGAATCTTGCCTTTATGCAGACCGCCTCTCAGAATTATCTGGACTGACGGGAAAGTCTTTACTGTCGATGGCAGCAACAGCAAAAACCAGCGGCAACTGCTTAGCCCAGCAGAGAAAAATTCCAGAAAACAAAGGGTAAGAACAAGGAGCCTGTCCCGAAATCAGTGATGGTTTGGGCCGGATAACATCAGAGGGCGAGACACCTTTCGTTTTGTTGAGAAAAACATCAAATTCAACTCAAACTCAAAAGAACAGGTCTACCAAAATATTACTTTTAGAGAGACACCTGGATGCCATGGGCAGAGTCAACCCTGCGTTGCGCAGTTCTCAACGGCCACGTTGCGCAGTTTCGCCCGATTAGACACGTTCTCTCGCGCGAACATTCACACTCGCATGCTCGAGCCGTCTGTGTCTCCGCCCATACAGCGTGCGTTGAGGATCTCTCAACGTGCCGTTGCGAACTGCGCAACGCAGGGTTGACTCTGGCCATGGGTCCATAAACACTTTGGAGGACGAAATTTTATTCTGCTGCAAATGTGGGCGCCAGCACATGGCTCGAAATCTACGATTTCCTTCTGCCAACGTCATTTTCCTGGATTCGAGGACAAAGACGGATGAAGGGATGTGGCCATCTAACTTCCCAGACCTCAGTCCAATGGACTATTCCGTTTGGAGCCTTCCACAGCAGAAAAAGTCTTCTTCTTCTCGCCGCAGTTTGGATAGTCCGGAAGCAGTGCTTCAGAGGAAGTGGCGGAGGATTGATGTCAGCTACCTGCGGCCCATCGTGGAAGCCTTTCCAAAAGATTGGAAGCTTGTATTCTTACCAAGGCGACCTAGATAGACGAACAGATACCGGAACATTTATCCGAGGTTCGTACAGAACCTCGGATAAATGTTCCGGTATCTAGATCTTACCATTTCACGAATTTTTTTTGAAGAACTGCATGTTATTCATCTTCGTACATAATTACTGGACCATAATTTGTAGCCGCCCTTTGTGTAGACGTCACACGCTTAATAGCCCTCTTGTCTATATTAATATGTTTTACACCATTCACAGTTTCTATTTGACACATGAGTATATGCATATCTATAATTGGTGGCATAAAGTAGTATAATGCATAGTCTAATAACCGTAACCTATAACACAGTTCACGCCGCGCACATACCGCTACGCCTATTCGTCTAGTCGATCGTTTGGTTTCCTCGTTAAACTTCTTGTCCTCTTCGGCCGATCGACATCAGTCGCTTCTACAAGGGTATCGGCACGCGCCAGCTCGCTTGTCTCCTTCAAGCAAGGGAAGCAGGCTAAGTTTCCATCTTGCTGCAAGCACATGGACGGTGATAGCCATGTAGGACTCCGTCGATGCAATCTTCTATCCACTGGTCCCTCCGCTTACGACAGTAGGAGGTGCATGCACCCGTCCACGATACTCTTCTCTCATCTGTTTCTCCATCGGCACCCAGTCTGTACTTTCGTTACTTTCTCTTTTCCCCTAGCGAATAATCTACTTCAGCCCAGATACATTTTATACCTCTACATTCATTTTCATGCAAAACAACATCACGTAGTTGTCTCATGCGCCGGTACTGAGTTTCCCGCAGGTACGCTCGCGTACCTCACCAGCATGACCAACGCAAGGGTTATTGGTATGCCTCGAATGTGAAAAAAATCTAAATTCAGAGAACATATTGTTGCTAACTCATCTCACCCAAGTGTATTGACAGACAGAACTCCGGTAGTAGGGAATCGGACCATACTATCAAGCGCAGCGGAAGTACTCAGACCCCATGTAAAAATAGGAATGTTGTAGAATCCCGCAATGAGCGCAGAAGCGATGGCAGCTGAAACACATAATTTTGAACAAAGCTTCAAATACATAGGAGAGAGCGGTATACTATTACTATAAACAAATGAATCTGGTTCAAGCTCGATGCATGTATCGTCATATTAAGCGGGTCAGAATTGCAGATTTCTGTACAGTCGGTCGCATTTGCCACATTGGTATGAACTGACGAGGTTTTTTTTTCCTGTGAACTGGGCTTTGCGTAGAAAAATCGTATCGAATGCTGACTGCTTTAGTGGTTTCATGCAATTGGCTTTTTTTTCGGAGTTTGAGAGTCGGACGTGTTTGCGTTTGCAGTGTTTCACTACTACCAAGCAAGACAATGCTACCACCATTATTGAAATCTTCTGCGGAAAACTCTCGCACTCATCCAGCTCGAATACATCAGCTCTGATCACTTATGAAGAAAAACTAATTCCACGCAAGAAAATTCATTCGCTTCCGCAGAAGAACGAACCACCTTCTAAGGACGACTGCGGGCATTTTGGGCGGAGACAAGGGAGCGGATGGAAAGAAGTGCGTTTTGCGGCGGCGCACTTAGAAGACGCACTGAAGGAGTCGAATAAAGGCGTCAGAATTTGGAGACAGACGCCTAGGAAAGGTTTCCAAAATTTCTCAGACCACGAATGAATCTGATCTTATGGTTGGTCGGATCGATCTTACTGGGGCTTCAAACCTAAGCAATTGGACCAAACAATTGATGACTAGTTCAAGTTCTGTGCCGTATGTCAACTAGCTGAACAGATACTTAGATACAAGATCATTTCCTGTATGTGTGGCATAGTATTACGTATGCAAGAAGCACCACTCAACATGGGCTTGAGACTACTCGAACAGTAAACCCGCCATATAACAATTGCCATAAAGAGAGCTCCGTTGTTTGCTTTGCCCATACCCAAAAACGGGAGTGATCGAAATTGAATCACTACAGCCTGAACCATTCTGCATGGTGAGATGCTTCCTCGGTCACATTACACTAACCTCATAAACAAACTGAACGAAATTGAATCACTATACGCATACAAAAGCCACTGTTCTACGAGGACTCGAACCCTTGGCAATTCGAGCATGAGACCAGACACGTAACTATCTGCCATGGTGAGACACTATCTCGCTTTGCGAAAACCCAAAGATGAATGTGAGCGAAATTAATCGAAAAGTTCAACTGGGCTCAAAGGACTTTCGAGATTATCGATGTCTTGCTTCCAGAGACCTTGGTCTTCATGGCTTCCTTATTTTTTCTCCTTTTTTGGAGATTTTTCCAAAAATAGGTCCGACCGTTTACCCCCCTTCGGCTCCCTTTGAATTTCAAAGGGTGGCGCCACCGGGAGCCAAAGGGTCGAACCACCTCTTCGGTTTCCTCTATATTTACAGAGGTGGCGCCACCGGGAACCGAAAAGGCGGTTTGGTCAGACCGCTGGGGTAGGGAGTGATGACAGTCACTTGATATGCGTGAAAGCTGCAATTTGTGAGTTACTCCATAGCGCCTTTCCATATCATAGTAAC